CAAAGGAACAATCAGCTGTAAAAATGGTGGATTTTCATTTCATACTTACATAAACAAATTCGTCAAAACTTATCTTTCCATCTTTATTTCTGTCACCATCCAGCATGAGTTTTTGAATAATTTCTCTCACTTTATATCCCGGTAATGGCATATTAGCTTCCTTGAAGAGCTCATGAAGTTCATAGTCACAAATGAATCCATTGCTGTTGAGATCTTTATAAAAAGGAAGAGCAAACAAAATAGGAAAAAACTTTTAGAAGAAGTAAACCTATTATTTTTCTCCATTTGAGGCTCAGTTTATGAACTTGCCTAAATACAATTTTTTCTTTCATATTGTTTAGTACCTAAGGTTGTTTGAAAGGGAAAAGCAAATTTTAATAGAAAGAGTAGGGTTTTACATCATGTATCCTGTATATTAAACAGTGTATAAGTAGCTTTGCTTATTAAAATAGCAACCCAAATATTAAGAAAGCACAGTTGCTTAATAAAATCAGAATTAAATAATGAAGTTAATAGAACTTATTAAAAGAATACATTGTACACCAATAAAACACTGACATGGTATAAAATAATTTTTATTGTAGCTATTTGGGTGTTTTCCTTCTTCTTCCATTAATCTAATAGAATAGTTTTATGAGTTAATGCCGATTATATTACAAAGCACACCTCAAATTAAGTTACCATTTTCAGTGCCAATTTCTTAAATTAATGTAAATAAACATTAGTCCAACACAAATATAAAGTTCATAAAAATAATTGCAGCTCTGAGTAATGCAAGTGTCTACCATGACTCTACAAATAACTTTTTTGTGTGTGTGCTACTACAGTTTTAGCAGAGTATATATCTCAGTACTGATGATGCTTAATCTGAAACTGTTAAATGAAAAAGAAAAACCCACAAAAACTGATCAACGACCAAAAGTTTATTTAAAAGGAGAGTGCTAATGTACTGAGGTTTGTGATCACTTGAGCATTTTTTTTTTTTTTTAGTAAAGAAAGTTGGGCAGCCACTATGGAAGACAGTATGGAGTTTCCTCAAAAAGTTAAAAATGGAACTCCCATTTGACCCAGTGATCCCACTTCTAGTAATATATACCAAGAAAACAGAAACACCAATCAGAAAGGATATATGCATCCCTATGTTCATAGC